AATTGAAATTAGTCTTGGACGGCTATTTTTTCCAAAAAACAATTCTTCAAATATGGTCCCTTTTATAAAGCTGGTGTTAGGATCACTTTGAGAGACAGCACCTGTAAGGAGGACAGACTACTGCTGTCTCATGACCTGTGCCGTGTAACTGAGAAAGTTCATGACAGCACCTACCAATCCCACGTGGCAGATTGTCATACTATATATTATACTTTTGACAAGCCCCCTCCCCCCATGTGAGCACACTTGCCAACACTTGGTCATCAGTCGACTGGATTGGGATGAGGGGCACTTCCAGCAGTGTACACTCGGCATGCTTGATCGACTAGTACTTGAAGTGAGAATTCGAATCAGCTGTTTCCTAAGATCCTTGTACTGTATATCAAAATCTTGAGGATTCACACCGTCAGAACGCCTCTGCCTCATGTTTGGTCGACTGCTCAACTCCCCTTTCTGCAGACCGTGTTGCGCGCGGCGCTGGCACCTTTCCTCGCGTAATCGGAGCGGAGGAGAAAGCTTGGCACCCACAGACTACTTAGCAGCCATCTTCACCACAATAGACAGATGCAAATACACACAAACCTACTGAAGTTGTACGTTCTAGGGAGCGTTTTCGCAGCCATTCCACTGACAACTTGTTCTCCCCTGGCATCCAGTCAACGCAACAGAATATATCTCTCATATTCAGATGAATCAGGTAAGAAGAAGAAACTCTCAGCCTAACCCTTTCGTTAATATTATTATTATTATTTTTATTATTGATATTACTATGGTTGTTATTATTACTACTATTACTATTACTATTATTATTACTGTTACATGAAGCAAAGTCTTTTCACTGCGGCCAGAGGAGTACAAGGGATGTTAGTTTTCCACATCACAATATGTGATCAGCCCCGATGAAGTTAGCTGCGAGAGACCTGATTGCTTGGCAAACATCAAGAAAGGGCGGCAGGCCTGGCCTTTCGTTCTTGAAGTGAAGTCCTGTAGGAGATGTCTCGATCACCCAGAAATTCCCCTGTCTTACCAAAAAAAGGAATACTCTGTCACACGGCCTTCACATGTTTCCTGAAGTCAAGGGTAACGGGAGATCACGCGTGCTTCATGAGGGCTCACACTCCCCCTTTGGCAACTGCCAAACAAAGACAGCTCTTGTGACGCGTGATGCTCCGGCAAGAGCTGGGAACTAAACCCTAAGCTGGCCTTTGGTTAGCTGGGAATGGAGGAAGGGATCCTTATAGTAGTCCTTGTATGACCCACTGTAGTAGTTCCATTTTCTTTTCCATTCCTTCATTCCTAGCTATCCAAGGCCAGTAAGAGAAGAGTGGAAAGATAATCCCTTAAAGCCCTAAAGGGGTTCGATGCAAATTCATGGGTAGCCTGGCTGGAGAGCCTTACTGAAGGTAAGGTATTACCTCCGACACAGTGAATTCATAACATTGATAAATAAATTGCTCTAAACCTTATGAGCTACAGTCTAAACTCCTAGTATCCTCTTTAATAACCCCTTTAGTAGTCCCCTATATAATCCCCTTTAAGGAGTTTAGACTATAGCTCTACGGGATATGGCGAGTTTTGGAAGATCCTTAAATTTGTCATGGTACGGACCATGTACGTTGAAACCTAGTCACATGAGCTATAGTCTAAACTCCTTAATGGGGGTTATATAGGGATTATACAGGGGACTACTATAGGGGTTGTTAAGGGGGATACTAGGAGTTTAGACTATAGCTCATATGAGTGCATCCTGTAATGTGGGTAGTTTCGAAAATTAGGGTGCATTTTGGCACCCCTAACTATTAGATGCCGTAATATTATCTATATCCAAAGGGCCCATTAATTTGAGAACAACCTTTGTGTGTTAGGCAGAAGTCGCGCCTTTGACGCAACTCTTCTCCTACTCGCAATTCACAGTGAGCTCCATCAAACTTGCCTCAAGTCAGAGATCCAAAGCCAAGATCCTACGGCTGCGCAATTTCACCCCTAAACCCTAAACCCTAAACTGATTGTTCTGCACTGGATCAGTTGTTTGTATAGACCTTGCATCTTTCTTTGGTGGGTGCACCGAGCCTCGGCTGCACTTGCACAGTTTGGGGCTTTTTCAAGTGGGTGGTTGTCAAAACTATGGTCCCTTTTTGGGTACCCTAAATATTAGGTGCCGTACGTACTATAATAGGGACCCAAAAAGGGATCATAATTTTGACAACTACCCAAGTTTAAGTTGGTGGAATCTGCTATTCCATGTTCTTATGGCTAGAGTCTAGCCGCTAGCCAAGGATTGGTTGCCAGCAATGAGGCAGGGCTGCTGAAGTGTGAAGTCTGAAGGGTAGCTAGCCACTAGTTCGCGCCGCAGGTCGTTGCGCAACGCAGTGGCCGTCCTCCTGGTCAAGGGGCTAGTTGCGGAGGAGCTTTGCAAATGGGAGCTCTCATGTTTCTGATTCAGAGATGCCACGTTGAAGGTGTGGTGCCATGCCTTGTCATGATACATGGGGGTTTCCCAAAATTAGGGGTACCATTTTGGGGGTCCCAATAATAAGGATTATAGTATTTTGGGGTCTACATTGGGGTCCCCTTATTTTGGGAAACTACCACATAGCATTGTAGTGTGAGAGAAGCAGCCAGAAGCGCAACCCGTACGTCGGGCAACGTTCTGAGTATCGGCAGGGTTGAGAGCTTGTTTCTTGCCGCCTTTGTGCCGACTCGTCTCCTGCTATCCGCGCAGCGAGCACCAAGCCTTGTAGAAGGGGCCTGAAGATGCAGTAATATTAGAGTTATATTAGGGTTATATGGGGATAATGGAAAAGAAAATGGAAACCACCCTCATGGGTTATAATGTAGGGTTTAAGGGGCTTAAGGGTTTTTTGCATCCAAACAACATCGCACATGACTTGTCTGTAAACAGAACAGCGGCAACTTTCAGGGCGTGCTAGTTGATGTGGACCTTGGCTATCTGTTGGGTCATTCCCCCACCCAGTAACTGTCCTTAAAGGGGGCCTTATTAAGGGGCTATTATAACTCCTATTATCCCTTGTGGTAACTGTTACTGTAAGGGGAAATGACCCAAGCTATCTGTTTTTCTCATTAATTTCCTGTTTATCCAAACTCATAGGAGATTGATCTGTGGCCCTGCGAGGCAGCACTGGAAGCCCGTTTTGTGAGTTTGGCCTCGCAGCAAATAGCCCGGAATAATCTTAAGGTAGCAACCAGAAATCTGTGGCAGCAAAACAAACATCAAAACCAAGAGGCATTTTCAACAGGGGCAGTTGGTAGCCGCAGATCCTAATGTAAGATATGCTGGAGGTGTCGCACGTAAAGGCCAAGTGAGCAATGGCTCGGCAGTTCTTCTTCACCTGCATGGAGGCCTCCTGATCTAGTTAGTGCTTGGGGCAAATGGCAAAGTGAAAATAGTAACCCTAAACCCAAATCCTATATAATCATAGTTTCCATTTCATTTTCCATTTTCTTCTCCATTTGATTCTCCACTATGAGGGAGAATATAGTAACCCTAAACCTTTAACCCTGAATCCTAAACCAGGGGTCATCTTGGGAGGGCCACGCGGATCCACTCCTCCATGCTCCCTTGGGCAGTAGTACAGTCATTGGCCTTTGTCTTTGGTTTATGGTAATTTGTATTTTCATGGAGCTGCACCTGCAGAATCACTAGCAGTCACCAGCAGTATGCCCTGGATTTCTCGAAGCCACGCTTTTCTTGTGGGTGGGGTTCTTGCGTTGCGATCCCTAATGTAATACGGCACCTCATATTTTGGGCCCAAAAAGGGACCATAATTTTGACAACCACCCACATGCCTGCTTAAACCCTAAATCCTAAACGTTTTGGGAGTTTGGCCAGCTCCAAAGCAAAGTGCTAAGGATGGTCACGCGCAGCCCTCGTCCTTTCAGCTGTGGTGCACCCAGTGGAGGGTTTAAGGTTTAAGGTTCATGGCTTCGTCCAATGCTTGAGTCCTCTGTTTGGGTCCCTAGGATACTGATCCGATAGTTTCTTGGAGGTATGCGCGGGTACCCTCGGAGGCTCAAGCATGAAGCCCGGAGCTAGTCCTTGATAAGCCCGCAAAACGACGGGCTCTTACTACCATCAGAACCCCACAAGCAACAATCTGAGGCGGGTGCCTTCCCCGGATGTGCCGGCAGCAGACCTCAGCGCCTGTGTAAGGCCGCTACAGAGTTGCTTTTTGTGTGAAGCTCCCAGCAGCATAGGTGCCTCTGCTTGCCCGGAAGTAGGAACTCCCTATTACATACGGGAGAACCCCAAGATAACCCCTACATGATACTTGAGCAACATGTATGTGTAAACGAATAAATAACTATAAACATGTATATATATATATACAGATATCTTTCTAGCTATAGATAGAAAATGTGCATATTTTCTGGGGTCCCTGAGGGCCCGCATTTTCGAGAACCCCATGTATCACTTTTTATGGTGAAGCTCATGCGTCGGCGCAGACAAGAGAACTGACTTGCCAGCATTGCTGCAGGCGTCCTTGGTATACAATTCCTGAAAGGTTAAGGAAGCTACTGGCGTGATACATAGGAAGCCAAACTTGTGTGAACTCTGAAACAGGAAGCCTTGGCACCCCCCAACGCTAAGCATGAGATTTTAATCCTGAACCCTAACCTAAACGCAACAAGTCCTAGGCCAAAAGCTCTAAAACCACAGACCCCTAAACTCCCAAAACCCATAACACTTGAATGCTGAGCCGTTGGCCCTGACAGGGACCGACTGGGTCTGCTTCCCGGGGTTCCATTCTTTGTGACGGAGGAGCCTGAGGCCGGCAGTGCATTTTTTTTTGGCTCCCTACTGGGCGGGCCTTGCGGGGGTTCGGGATTAGGGTTTTTGGAGTCTCGGGGACTTACCAGGTTTCTTGCGCGGCCGCCCTCAACTTGGTAGGCAGGGGTAACTTCAGGGACGGGTTCTGCTAGAAGTCTAGATGCCTATCATTGCCCATCTTAAGGATTATATAGCACAGGCGAAGCTTTGAAAAAGCAGCCGCATGGGTGTGAGGGACGGACTTCTTGCAGGTGTGGAAGTCTGGCCTCCCGGAGTCTTTTTGCATCATGGGTTGGGTTAGAGTTCCCCTTAAGTAGATAGAATATAGCTTTGGGTAGATTGTAATTACCCCATATTCTATCTACTTAAGGGGGACTATATCTGTCAGGGGTTGAGCAACTTTGGGCATCTGACTGGTGGTATCGCACCTGCTTCTGGTTGGGTGCCACAAGACAGCAGCTCTACCAGCAGCGAACAAGGCTCGTGCGGCAGTATCTCGAAAGAGGAAGATCCACAAGTAGTATGTCTTCATGAGAAGTACCACCAGCAAGAAATCCCAAAGTTAGATCAACCTTAAATAATCTAATAGTAGACATAATAGTAGTATTCGTACTAGTAATGATAATAGTAATGATATAGTAATTCCTTGATAAGATATCCTAACGTGTCCCTAGAGGCCTTTTAGTCGCAACGTATTTCCTAGGACACCTGCACTAGCCCTTTCAACCGTAAACTGTAAACCTCTAAAGTGTACACGCTTACACCCCTATATTAACTCAAAACCCTAAACGCCTCCACCTTAAACTCATATTCCTTACACCCCTATATGAGCTCAAAAACCTAAACGCCTCCACCGTAAACTCATATTCCAAACGAGGTGGGACGCCCGCCTAGCGACATAGCCGTGCCTCTATGTTCGCTGCTGCCGGACTTGGGGCGGACTCTCTAGGATTTACTGGTTAGTAGGGAAGGGCCGAAGGGAACATCAAAAGGAAAAGCAAGTGGAAGATGCTGAGGTTTATGGGGATACATCAGGTTAACTAGGGTTTGCTGGTGGTTTCTTGGGAACAGATTCCCTTTCATACTTACGCATACAATCCCAGAGCGAATCGCACTTTGAATGCGGAAGATGTACCAGAATCGCAGCTGCAAATGTTGATGTGTTCAACCCTGCGTGACACTGAATATCCCAAGTCTAAGAGCCATAGCTCTCTCTCTCTCTCTCTCTCTCTCTCTGTCTCTCATGGCAGGACGGCAGCCGTCTACGTGTGGTTCTGCCTAATGGGCGGCGGTCACCCATGGAGACCTTGGAAAGGCGGCGTGTAATTGTTGGAGCTAGAGTATCCCGTAGTAAAAGGTCGCGAAAGAAGCCGTCCTTCTTCGCATGGCCTTCTTGACTTTTCGTTAGTGCTCCTTTGCTATCTGCCGTGAGTGGTCTTTTAATGGGATCGGGCAACACCTGTGTTCAGCGCCAGTCCTTGTTCGCACAAGTCTGTGAAGGACTCGCGTTGTCTCCTTGCATTTAAGAGGGTTGCCGTGGTAGACAAGGAGAAGAAGGAGGAAGGGTGGCTACCATTAACCTGAAAAGAGGGGTCATTTAAGACAGATGTTGACTTTTTGATTCGTGGGATCTGTTGTAGCCTGCCAGGTATAAGGACAGCTCAGAGGAAAGAGCAGTTGGCTTATTCGGGGTGTCTATTCGGGGGGGTCGACTATTTCGCATAGTCGTTGTCTCTGCTGTCGTATTGTGGTGGCAGTTGTGTTTCTGCCATTTTTCGCCCAAATTCCAAGTTCGACTTGTACGGTACTGGTAGTTTCCCCAAAATCGGGTACCCCGATATAGACCCCCCAAAATTATACTCCTTACTTTCAGAACCCTCACAACGGCACCCCTAATTTTGGGAAACTCCCGCATACGTGTACAATACCCAAGCCATACCCTACAACAGTCTGGGTTGCTGTTAAGGAACCTAAATTAAGTTACCATATTGGGGAAACCATATTAGATACTGTTTATATATATATATATCCCTAAACCCTAAACCCTCAACCCTCAACCCTAAACCCTAAACCCATATCCATTATGGTCCTTAACAGCAACCCGGAAGTCTTAGCCTGTAGGCCGCAGCCACTTCCGGTCACTGGCGAGATGCCTGGAGAGGCCACGCTGGCTGAGGCTTCAGAAGGCCGCTGCTGCCCCTTGGCTGCATCTTAGGGTGTAAGGTTTAGGGTTTAGGGTTGGGGCAATGGAAAATACAATGGAAACTACTCTAGTTATAGTATATTGGGGTTACATAAGGGGTATATAGGGATAATGGAAAATAAAATGGAAACTACCATTATAGGGTTTAGGGTTGCTGACGGTTGCTGCGGATCATGGGGCTCATGTACAATGCTCATGAGATTGCGGGAGCCCAAATTCTGAGAGACCGACTAAGGTGGAGATGGAAAAGGAATTTTGCTGGGTTGCTGCTAGGGAACTTAAACTAAGTGACCATAACGGGTATGTATAGCAAATAATAGGATTTCGCCAATATAGTAACTTAAATTGAGTTCCTTATATCCTTATATTACACCAGTTTCCATTTTCTTTTTCATTTTATTCTCCGTTACAGGGGGATAATAACTAACTTAGTTTAGGTTCCTTAACAGCAACCCAGTTTAGGATCTTGGCCAGCATGCATCTCCGAAACCCTAAACCGAACCCGGCCTTAGAGTCGAAGCAGTCTCTCTCGGAAGCTGCAGCACCTTGCGCCCGTGCACTCCCAGTCCTAAATGGGGGTTTCCCTAAAATTAGGGGTACCTCTAACAAGGACTATAGTTATGGTATATTAGGGTCTATGTTGGGGTCCCCCTATTTTGGGAAACTACCAAATCAAAAGCCTCGCCTCGGACAAGCACCGGTAAGAGCCAGGCCAAGGTACAGAGAAAGCAGCTGATTGCTTTGGTATGTTTAGTCTTCCAGCCTTGTCCAGGCCAACGTGAGGAAACGAAGCCTCTGCTCAAGTGCCATACAACATAGTCCTAATCTGCGTTACAGGAGGTGTGGCTGTGTTCAGAGGTTTGTGAACAATGAAGACAATCCGCAAATGTGGGCTTCTTTGACCCTGAACCCCAAACCCCAAACCCTAAAACCCTAAACCCTAAAACCCTCAACCCTAAACCCTAAACCCTAGCCTGGGAGTTGAAAAGGTCGCCTGGTGTCCGAGCCGGTCGATTCGAAGCAGCTGAGCATCGAATCTGGGATTTGAGGGATTCACAACTCAGAGCAGTTACATTCCTGTACTATTCCTAGACTATAGTAGTTTCCATTGGATTTTCCATTATCCCAATATATAAGCCCTAAACCCTACACTTCCTGGTTTCCAATTTATTTCCATTATCCCAATATAACCCCAATATACTACAGTAGTTTGCATTTCCTGTACTATTCCTGGTCGCCACACCAGTGTCAGTATTAGCCAGCGGTCTCAGCAGCAGAAGCAGCTTCAGCAGTAGTTGTATTGCTGATGCGCAGAAGCACAGATTCCAATACTATAGTTTATTATACTTTATTATACTACTATTATTACTATTATTACCAATATTACCATTTATTACCAGCATTACTATTGGTACTCTTATGACTATTATAAGTATCATAGATTCCATAACATTGATCGTTTGCGGGGGTAGTTCTTGCAGCCACTGCAGAAAGTAGATGCTAAACAGCAGCCAAGGATTTGGCCAATGAGAGGACGTTGTTGGCTTGGGTGCGCACAGGCTCGGAGCACTTGTGAAAGATCAAGTCTGGCTCGCACATGTATGCAGTCCCCGATATCTCTTGCCTGGCCGACTGTGTTTCAAAACAAGGTTCATTCAGCTGAGTCCCCCAAAAAGTGGATCTGGTGTCGTCACCTGAGAAACCATAGAGAATCTCATATTCTGTGATTACCTTTTCAGTCTTCCAAGTTTTGGAAGCAACCTTTTCCTTCATGTTTCTGAGGGCACGATGTGAGCCTACATAGTTTACTCCATGTCTCGGTTCTTGGCAGTACATTCGCCATTGATTTCGCCGGGGTCTGTAAGGACTCCTTGCAGAGCATTTATGGAGTGTGCTATGGAAATACCAGGAACTGATAGGCCTGCATGGTCAGGATGTATGGTGGATTATGGTGGGTTTGTTAAACCCTCTTAGAACTTCTTTGGGTCCCCTGTGTGCTCTTCTTTGGCATGGTTTGTGATTCGCAGGAGGTGGGCAGACCAGCCTGCACAAGGGAAGTGTCCTAGACTGTGTTAGTGCAGGATGAGGCATAGATCACCTTATATTTACTGTTGTAGACAACACCGTTGTTTCGTATCACACCTACCTAATTTATGCAAACTTCCACGTGGCTCCGCCAGGCTTGGCAGCAATCCGGCTCCTTGACAAACATGGGAGTTTTGCAGAAAAGGTCTTATGACAAGGCGTATACAGGGGTCTGCCTTGAGGATCGTTTCAGACTTCCAAATGGTATGTTGACGTGTGGCTTCCTGGTTCCAGGATGTCACAACCAGGGAGCTTGACTCAGCTATTCGTAGCCACGCCTGTGCATGCGTAGCATCGATTGGATTTGAAAGTGCCATCAAGTGGTTCTGGAATCTTTTGCATTCCTAAGAGCAGTCGCAAACATCAACAGATGCTCCCAGCTTTCGTTGAGGACGGTTTTCTCTTTCGCCACGCTCTCTGGCCTTACAAAAGGCGCTGCTCGTCTGCCGGACCTTGTTCTGTTGTGAACGTTGCAGCTGGTAAGCCAGCATGATGGCACAGCCTTGACGTCTAAAAGTTCCCCTAGCAGGTGAGCTTGTCGTGGATGTGTTTGTCACGCTGGTCCTTTCCTGCTCGGGATTGGCGACGCTTCTGGTAGGCAGGCATCCGAATGCCATTGCTGGCAGTGCGTCTGTTCGCTTATGTATGTGTGTATGTATGTGTGTGTATGTATGTATGTATGTACGTACGTACGTACGTACGTACGTATGTATGGGTTGCTAGGTTGGTTGGTAGTTTGGTAGTTTGGTAGTTTGGTAGGTTGGTAGGTTGGTAGGTAGGTAGGTAGGTAGGTAGGTTGGTTGGTTGGTTGGTTGGTTGGTAGGTTGGTAGGTTGGTAGGTTGGTAGGTCGGTAGGTTGGTAGGTTGGTAGGTAGGTAGGTAGGTTGGGGTTCGGTTGGTTGGTTGTCCGTGTGTATGTACGCAGGGATTCATGGATGGATGGTTGGCATCGCATTGCATAGTAGTGTAATGTACCGTACTAAATGTGCTGCATAGGCTGTATATACTATAGGTAATGCAACATATGAAGCAGATGTAACACGTGTAAAGTTTGCAATGTACATACTGTAGTCATGTGGTAAAACGTATGTCCGGATGTATGCATGCATACCTGTGGCATGAATACATGCATGCACGCACATACGGAGGTAGGTAGGTAGGTAGGTAGGTAGGTAGGTAGGTAGGTATGACGATATCCGACTTCTTTGCACAGGGTTTGCGTAGGGCCCTATCCGGGGTCTGGCTAGTTTTGGGAAATCAGCCGCGGCCTTTGGGGAAGTAGGTCCCACGGTGTGAAGGTTACAGATTCAAGATGGTTTGTTTTGGATCCTCAACAGTGTGAGCCTCTTACATAGAATCCCTGGATACAAGTCATGACATACCCTCCCCGGCCTTTTTCAGGTTTCCAGGTTGAACGTCTCCAGATACTGTTTGAAGAGTCAGTGGATTGCAGCAGGGTGGACACGCTTCGCTGCTGTCCGCAAAGGAGCCCCAGGCCATTCAGCAATTCATGTTGCATATCGTTTATGAGAGACCTTGCTTGGTGTGGATTTATTATTTGATCTCATGGCGTGGGGGTACCTTGGTTTTCTGTAAAGATTGGGGCACGCACCCGGAAATATTAGAGTCCTCATCATGCGCAGTGCGTTTAAGTTGTCTTTTGTGCATGCGTTCTTGCAGGGAGTTCCGCAAGCTATGTTTCCTCGCCACGTGTGGGCGGACAAGCCTCTTCTTGCTCTTATCGGTTGTTTGCAGCGAAGGGAGGGAAACAGCACTTAGAAGTATAGTCCCCCTTAAGTAGATAAAATGTGGTTTTGGGCATTTTATAATCAGATCCCCATATACTCCATAGTCTAACTACTTAAAGGGGACTATACACAACCACTGCAACTGGGATGAGCTAGACCACGATGACATCGATTTAGCAGCTCATCAGAGCAGCAGCGGCGGGTTTGGGAGCTTTGGGTGGTTTGTGGGGGTTTCCCAAAATTAGGGGTACCCCTTTTTGAGGGTTTCTAGAATAAGGACTTTAATATTTTGGGGTCTATATTAGGGTCCCCTTCAGGGACTCGACGGGTGGCCATCGGTCCGCTGTACACTGCCTTCGTCTTGGCACCTTGGGTGCAGCACCGGTGAGCCTGCGCTGAGTGCCAATTTGCCAGACTTCTGTGGAGACAGTTGCATGGTGGGATGCACCTTTACACCAAGATTTAGCTGCCTAGCTAGTACTCCCATGGGGCAGGGGAGGAATAAGAAACATGATTCAAGCAAATATTAAGCCTGGACGTCGAGCGTCAAGCCCCTGCGCTCAGGTTGCAGCAATTTGCCTACTGGGGTCGCTGGTACGTCAGCCAAAGCGCTTTCAGCTCCAGGCGAGCTGCAGATAGAGTCAAATATTTTGAGTGCCAACATGCGTTTGCTGCGAGCTTCTGGCAGAGGTGTACCTGCCTGCATGCACCAATTCACTTTGCCGCTGCATGTAGGGCTATTCGGCATCATGATTCGATGTCCCACAGCGCTCACAAGGGTTTGCTCAGCCTGCCCTCTGGCGCAAGGATCCTTCTCCACTCCACTTGGCAGCCGAGACTGCCTGGACCCTTGCGCTGGGCTGATGCCCAGACCCGTGTCCGTGACCGCGATGCATGCGCGACGTCGCGGAGTGAAGAGGGAGTTCTTGTCAGGGACTGAAGCACAGACGATGAAGCTTGCACGTGTCAAGCGCCATGAGATGCTGTTATGCTGCGATGCGTCTGTGGCTCAAAGGTAGGTCCCTTCGGTTGCTGCTGAACCTCCCTCTCGTTGCCATGGCTCCGTCTCGCACGTGTGCGGCCCTGGCCGCGGGTTCCGCGGCTGTGGCGCTTTTCGGTGCCCCTGCTTTCACCAGCCCTGGTGCAGTCACTGAGAGCCACGCGCCTGTCCGCAGCTACGGCCAGGCGGCCGGACAGGCATCCGCCAGCAGCACTAGCACTGCTGCCGTGGCCTCCGCGGCTGGTGTGCTGGCGCTGGGCGCTGCCAGCGCCGCTGGCCGGGCAAAGAAGGTGACCCGAGCAGCCGTGCTTAGCAAGGACGACCAGGGCCGCTTTCGCTTCGATGCGCCAGAGGTGCCGCTTGTGCCTTCAGAGCAGCCAGGTGCCGTTGCTCCCTTGGGTTTTTTTGACCCTCTTGGGTTTACCAAGAGCGGCCTGATGACCTTCCCTGGTGACTCAACGGGCTTCAAGCATCTGCGTGCTTCAGAGATAAAGCATGGAAGATTTGCGATGATGGCTGCAACCGGGTCCTTGTTCGCGCACTTCGTCAAGTTTCCAGGCTTTGAGGATGTGCCCACTGGCTTGGCTGCCCTGGACACCACCAAGGGCATGGAAGGCTTTTCTCTGCTCATGTTCTTGATCGCCGGCCATGAGGCAGTTGCAAGCTAGCAGGGTAGAAGGGATCGATGTGTTTGAGAGAGGCAGCATGCAGAAGGTCTTGAAGTCTTGAAGCTCTGGCAGGCAGTGACCTGGAAGCCCGTGAAAGAGCCGGGCAGCTTTGGCGATCCCTTCCAGTGGAAGCAGTTCACTCCCGAGATGCGCACTAAGGAGCTTAGGACCTAGGATGTGCAAGGGTTTGGGGCAGATTAGCTCGAGAAGGTTTTGTTTGGAGTGCGTGAAGCCGTGACTTCAGGAGCTTAATAATGGACGCATGGCAATGTTTGCGATTATTGGACAGATTGCCGCCGAGCTCCAAACTGGCAAGGGTCCCGTCGAACAGTTCACAGGCTGAGCTAAGAAGCTTTTTTCGAGTTCGTGACATATGCCTTTATAATGGCGCATGTCATCTGTACAGGCATGTAAGCGATGCTACCTGCCGGGCTAGCGCAAACAAGCTGATTTTCCATTGTTTGCAAGCCACGGCAAGACTGGGGGATCTGTTGGCTGCCGCAAAGATTGTAAAATCAAATGAGTGCCACACATGCTGCCTCTTCGGGTATCCAACCCACTCCTGGTCTCGGGCTTATGCCCAGCCCCGTGACCGTGACCGCGATGCATGCGCGACGTCGCGGAGTGAAGAGGGGGCTCTTGTCAGGGACTGAAGCACAGACGATGAAGCTTGCATGTGTCAAGCGCCATGAGATGCTGTTNNACTGGGGGATCTGTTGGCTGCCGCAGAACATCTTATGAATCGCCATTGCCTCAGAGAATGCAATGCAATGTTGTGTGCGACACGCGCTTTTCTTTGGGTATCCAGCAACCCCCTGCCAAGTCGAACTCATATGTGATGGCAGCGCACGCGCTGCACGCATGGTGTTTCCATCACATAGTGACGCAGTTGTGCCTGGTAAGAGCTGAACCTGGCCAACATGCAGCAAAAAACAATGAGAGGACATTGCTTTTGCCAAATGTGAGCGGGAGTTCTGCTCTCTTTTAGCTTGGATTTTATCTTGAGAAAGTGTTGTTGCTTTGCAGGAGCAAGGTGTTGCCTGGGCCTTAGCATCACAGGAACCTGCGCGCAACGGCTGTTCCATCCAGTCCGTGATTTGCTCCCTGTGCCTTGGCCCACTGCTAGATGAAGTACGCCACTGGCCTGGGAGAAAGCTTGCTATCACTACTTCATCCACTTATTTCTGAAAAACCAACGGAGGGTGACAAATCCACAGTGATAAGTTGCGCTTTAAGCCTCAGGCTCCCAAGCTGACTGGGTTTTCAGCTGAAAAACTGGGTTGCTGTCAAGGAA